GAACATATATCATCAGATTAATCTTATTTTGGATTCCTTAGAAGACTGTGGGAATGCTGCAGATGAATCTTGACTCAGCAAAGTATCTGACAAAATACTTTGATATTCTGATTAGCAAGCTACTTAACTATGGGTTAGATAGCATGTTTAGTAGGTGGAAGCACAACCGGCTTGAAAACCATACTCAAGTAGTGCCAATCAACTGTTCTTCATAAACTGAAGTATTGAGTGGGATATCATAGTCTTTCAATCAGTGCAACATATTCTTCCAATACTTTCATTAATGACTTGCATTAAGAGGTGAAGTAAATCAAATTTGCAGTACACAAAACTGGGCAAGATAGATTCTATCTAGCAGACAGAAATAAAATTGAAAATGTTCTTGATAGGTTAAAAAATGGTCTGAAAATAACAATAAAATAGAGACAAATGTTAGGCTGTGTCAACAAAAGTATATTTTCAAATCACAAGAACTGTTTCATTATATCTCACTGCTTAACTTAACTCAAGTACTGTCTTCAATAATGGGAACCACATTTAAAAAACAATTCAGAGAAATTTGAAAAGCTGCAGAGATGAGCAACAATAATAAGGGAATTGGAAATTTTATATGAGAAGGGAACAGGTAGAGGGGATGTTTAGTCTTGAGAAACTACGACTGAAGAAACATATAACAGCTACTTTATAGCTACTTTATCGTCGCATGGAAGATCAAGATTTGTTATATCATTCCAGAATGCAGAATACAGAACAATGTCTTGTTATGGGAAAGCAAATTCCAGTTGAAATTTAGGAGGAACCAATTACTCAAGGTAGCAAGTTTTCCTTCACTGGATGTATTCAAAAACAGTGGATAGATTTCTGTCACAGATATTATAGTCTCAATTCCTGCAGTGAGGAAGCGGTTGGATTTGATGACCAAACAGCCACTTCCAAGTTTATGATTCTAAGATCAAACATCAGCATAAACATAGAAGTTCATAAACTAACCGCAAATAAGAGTTTACGTTTGGACAACAACAATAGCATTTTACCAATTCCAAGAACAAAACATTCATAGCTTCCCAAATTTATAAACTCTAGTAATAGAGCCGAGGATGCCATCTTTTAACACCCTGGACAATCTTTATTGTCTTCTACTATTATCTAATATCACCTAATAGATGGGTTCATAGTTCATAGTCATGTTATTTTCTAAAATTAATTTCAGCTTTCTTTGACATGTCAAAGGATTTGTTCCTTGCTTTCTGCACAAGTACCACAGAAATCTACATACTGCTGAACAATGTTCATAATCCATGCACTCCACAAAAATGTACTGAACCAAAATTTAAGTGTAAATGTTGCTAACTGAGCTATGTGAAACAGAGAAACTCAAACTCCCAAATTTCTGTACAGGTGTACCACTTTCCTCTCTTTTTCAAATCTCTGGCACTAAGATCAATTTTTTTACAAGCTTACAGTTTAAAAGTTCAACCAAAACTTGTTAGAGTGAATATTCTCCCATGTCTTCAGGAAGACCTCACCAAATGCTATCACAGGTATACCCACTGTGAAAATTCATTCTCTGAGATAGAAAAATAAATTGTAGAATAAATACAAGTTTCATAGAACATTCAAATGCGTTTTTCTTTGCTCAGTCTCTCATCTTCCTATCCCTTCTCATTTGAAGTTCAGTCTTCTTGACTTTGGGACTTAGGTTTTAGGACTATGGGCTCTCTAGGAGGACTGACTTTTTTTGTCACTGACTGTATTTCAACTTCCTCCTGTATTGATATTCCCCAGTGTTCATTTCAATCCCTTGTTCTTCTTATTCAGGATTGCATCTTCTGTCTGAAGATATATTAGGTTTTTTTTTAGTTTTTTGGGTACATTATACCAGCCAAATTAATTGCCATGAATAAGTCATGACTAGAATACATTGATCCAACTACGTACACATTACTCTACCATATGCTTTTTCTTGGAATACAGGAAAATTAAAAGAGGAAACTTTGCCAATTAGACAAGCTCGAAATACTAGCAATTTTCTTTTTCAGTTAGGTATAAATTCAAGGATCTCATAAGGCCAAACACTTTATTTTGGCTGAGCCAATAACACAATATTATATTGGTATCATCAGCTTCATAATTCAACTGATTCAGTCTAATTTCAAATTGGTTTACCACAATATTAGGAATTCTAATTCACATGGTTGTTATTAAAACTGTAAATGCTCAAAAAATGAATTAAAAAATAAACCCAAATGAGCATTCTAAAAAATCTTATCATACAGACATAGCCTATAGAAATTAATCAAACCACTTCCATTTTACTATATGCTGAATACTATCTGGCCTTTATTCTTAATTTAGGATTTTAAAAGATCAAATTTATGCTTTTTAACAGTTTAAATTTTAAAAAAGTATTTACCTAAGTTTACATTTACAGAATCAAAAAGACAGTACTGAAACCTAGAAACTAAACAGTTTGTATATGCTTAAGAATTTTGGAATGTATTTCAAATTATAGAATATTTAATTCAGAAAACTGATTTGTAGATATTAGTAATTATACCAATCACTGATCACCAGGATAAAAGAATATGCTGAATGTATGTAGTCTGTTACTGAATCTTGTAGTAATAGACAAATATGAGAAAGTATCACTGCTTAATACAGTATGATTATCCAAGAAATAAAATTCTGGGATGCAATACCTCTTTTGCCCCTAAATCGCTCTCTCTAAAACATAATGGCTCTTTCAAAAAATGTTGACTATCTCCCTGAAATAAACTAAAAGCAAACTGACCATTCAGATATGGCTGATGGTAATGCATGTGATCAGAGTACTTCTTCCAATTGCTTCAAACATTAAATTACTGCCAGACATATCAGTGAACTGAAGTTCACAAGTTGAGAGTATCTGATATGTTTCATAGCAAGGATAGTTCCATACTATGTGGCAATCATGCTTGTTGTGGGTACAATTCTGTTTCCTCAACAGCACATGAAATCTGATTTGCAATTTCAAAACACCCACACACATCTGGAATCTCCTATTGAACTAAGGCTTCTAGAGTGCATTGTATACAGATGTTTAAGGATTTGCATAATTTGCATGGTTACTCAAGATGTGGCAAATGGAATTTCCACATAAAATATAGAACCACATTGAGGCAGATATGAGGTTTCCACAACCCAACATCACTGAAATGACTAAGTTCATAGATCAATGAAACTGAAGGCAAAGCCCTACAAAATGCTTTGTTGATCTCAATTTTTCACATCTCCCCGAAATAGCTTATAAAAGCCACCCACCCCAGCAACTGATGCCACAGAGCTTCAAATTCCGATAGCTTTAGTAGTCAGCCAAAATTCATGCCTATCACTGTGTCTCTTAGAGGCAAAGGTATTGTGTTTTTTTTCTAATATTATGCTAAGCTCAAAGACTGAGCATAACTGTAAAGATATGCCATACAGTTTCAAAATGGAGAAGGGCATTTCCCTGTCCTGTGCTGCAGAAAACCTTAGAATGGCCCTCAAGTCAGAGCAAAGAATCTACCTCCACCTGAACTTTCAGCAACTAAAAGATGCATTTAACTATACATCTATGAATCTCTGACCATGCAACATGTATCTAACATCATGCTTTTTCCTAATGGATATGTTTTCTGTATGTGAAGAAATATTTCACATTTAGAAGCTGAAGAACTTGCAACTTTCCCAAACCTGCAATGCGAACTGTGGGAAACTGCAGGGTTCTTTCTCTACAAAAGCTAAAAGAGTTGCTGTTCAACTTGTTACATTACTTCCAGAGTCAGACAAAATTAACATAATAAACTTTTTATGTTATAATAGCGCAGTTTGAATCTGCTAGAATTTTCCAGCAACCTACAAGACAATAATCAACAATCAGTACAACCTCCTTGCCTTGAAAGAGTTTCAGAATAATACAGGTTATAAAATTGTCAAGTTATTGTGAGTTATTAGCTATAAACGAGTTGATTAAAGGATCCCTTCACTCACAGAACAGAATATTTGGATGTGATGCATTGAGTTTGAAAACTGAATTTAATATGCAGATCTTAAATATGCCCTGTATCTTACTACAACAATCATACATTTGTAACCAATAAAAACATTCCCCACAATAGCAAGAGCTTCCAAAACTTGTCTAATATTTCTAATTAAACTTAGGAAATTGATAACCTTTACAAAATGGATCCTCCAAGATCCTACAAGTAGTAACATAAACTTACATATTAAAAAAAAATATGGTACTTGTATGTCTATAAGAAGAAGCATGTTTTAAAAATGTCGATTTCAGGAAGAGTAAAAAATATATTTTTTGAAACCAGACACTTGCAGTAAGAACTATAGTTAATTTCCAGTTATTGGTTTTCTTACATTTAAAAGAACAGATTTGTCAAAAATAAGTTATATTTGGAATTACTAAAATGATAGCAAAAAAAAAGCAATTTTGTTTTTAAATATAATGAGTAACAGTCACCTGTTTCATACTTCACATAAGAATGTGCCATATATAACCCTCATCTTCAAACCCAGTAAATAGGGCTTGAAAGAGCTCTTTTCTCCTTTTCTTTTTCAGAACATGTTATTTCATGATCACTACACTATCTTGCCACCAATTATTAGCCATGTGTTTTTCATAAATCAATCCCACATTTAGCATTAGATTTTGGTGGGAACTTTCATACTCGTGATGCAAGTTGTGGTCTCTGCATCATCCTATAAAGGAAGGCAGAATTCTCAGATGTATTCTAAACAATGTATTCAGCTACATTTAGCTTTCAGCCTTTTTATTATCATTGTCAATGAATGGGGGCCCTAGTCAAATTAAGCTGCCATTTTAGGTTAAAGACTGAGAGCCTCTGCTGTATAGCAGTAAAACAAGAACACTTCAAGCAACAGATGTAGTATTCTAACTGGAAAATTATGAATCTCGGCTTCTACAAAAATAGTTAACAACTCTGCTTTTTAAAATGAGTAATACTCACACATTACTGCAAACTAACTGGATTTATAATTGGGATAAATCAGCTACCCATGCTGCTAGGGTCATAGTCACTATGATTTTTTGTCTCCGTTACAGTGGATGATCTGTGAGAAAAGAGAAATATTTCATTCAACTTTTATTCTTGTATTTATTGTGCATATATGATACATACAGATTTTCTCCAATTAAAAAGGCTGAGTTACAGACAGGAAATAAAAGTAAGGAACACATTTCTTTTGCAGGGCAGGGGCACTTACTGATTTGAGATTTTAACTTTCCAAACTGAAATATACAAGGATCAAGTGGTGGAAAAAAAATCACTGCTTTTTTAAACTTAACTAAGCCTACTAAAAGCATGCTGAATAGCACACCAAACAAAAACAAAGGCAAACTAGAAAGAGTAGACTGTTGCACCTAACATTCTCTTAATATTTCAAAGGAAACTCCCTGTGTCCTGCTACTTTTCTTTTGTCTATTGTCTCGTTAAAGAAACTACTTTCAACCAAGCATGAGCAATATCCAAAAGTGGTTTGGAGAAACTCCTCCAATTTACTGCCTAACTGGACCGTCCCATAAGCCTGATGTCTCCCCCAGGACTGCCCCCATTCCCAGTTTAAGAGGGTGTCAAACGCTCCAGGAGAGTGCCCCTTATGCAATGCTATCAGGAAAAAAAAATGAATGCAGTATAATGATGGCTGCTCCTTCTCCCCGAGACCCACTCACAACACTCTCTCCCCACCCCCTTATCAACTCCCCCACCAACATCCACCCCTCCAGCGTCCGCTTCTCACTTCCACCAGCCCTGTGCCAGCATAAACGCACCCACCCACCCCAGCCCGAGGAGAAACGAAATCCCCGGCTACCCCCGTTTCCTCGGCTGAATCAAACCTAAACACACACACTCCCTGACCGCCTGGCCTCAAACCACCTTTTCCGCTCACCCTCAAAATGGCCTTGGTTTCGGGAAGGGAGGGGGGAAACTATGGACACCAGAGAGACCTTCTCAGCGACCCGCTCCCGACCAGGGAAAGAGACAGAAGCGCGCAGGCGAAAGGTGGCGAT